TCTGAGATTGATAGTTAGCGACGCGGTCTCGACACGAGAGACCGCGCCAGCCATTTACTCTGTTCTACGTGTTGATTGGCTACCGTGGTGGACACCGTAGCTGTTGTGTGACAACGGCCCGTCACACCATCCCCCACTTCAGATGGAGAACACGCCGTACTTGGTGTTTGGAGTCGAGATGACAGAAGCTGGCGAAGAAGTGACGACGATGGAGGAGGAGCTGGAACGATGGGCGCTGCACGATTGCAGTGCTTTCCGCGACGCGCGCGGCCCGGACGAGATGAAGCGATTGTTTCAACGGTTCCGGGCGACGCGTGGCAAGCCCGTCACGGTGACGCCCACTGTGACCATCAGGTCGATCGATCGTGCGTGGAGAGCGTTCGTGAAGCGGTGGAACCTGGAGGGTCGCGAGGCGTTCGAAACCATGTTGAAAAAGCGTGAAGCTGATCACGCTCGGTTGTCCGTCAGTGAGCTAGCTGGACAAGTCTGTCACCTGTCGTGGGACCAAGATTACCGGTGCTACATCGCGCATTTCGAAGATGGGTGTCCGCACTGTCGCGAGTTTGGTGTCGCGTGATCGGATCGTGAAGAGTGGCGCCGCATCGTGGAGACGGTGCCTGTGACTGAAGTGGAGAAAAATGTGATCAGACTTTATCAGCGAGCCTTGGACGAGGCTAGGCGCGCCGGACAGGCGCGACCTCAGCGCGATCCGTCACCGGTGCGAGGACTGCCTCGTACGCCTCCACGCAGTCCGGAACATCAGCGAGGAGGACGTCACGAGGCTCCCAGCTATCCGGCATGGGGCCCAACCAGCGCACCAAGTAGCGACGCTGTGAGGGGATCAGATTAGCGCGACCCGTGGGAGGGTTGCGGGGATCAGCGTGGTTCAGAATACGGCCGACGATATGGCGAGCATGCCCTGCCGTGTCAACAAGTGGCGCCTGACCGTCGCGTTCGAATGGAGGATCGGCGCGGGTGGGAGGACGCCGCGGAGATGCGGCGTCTGCGCCAGCGCGTGGAGGATCTGGAGCGGGAGAACCAGGACTTGCGTCGACGGGTGCAGCGGCCGCGCGACGGGTGGGGAGATCGCCGGTATGCGGATGCGGAGGGTCCACCGCGTCGCTAGGGATAGTCGCCGGGTGGTATCGTCGGAGCCGGCCAACGTAGAAGGTAGGGTGAAGATGGACCATCTTGCTCAATCGGTCGACGAAGACAAGGATTCCGGTACGGCCTTGTGCGTCACGTGGGAGACCGAACACAAAGTCCATGCTAACAGACGACCACGACACGGTAGCCACCTCGAGTGAACGGAGTGGAGCTTGTTTCGAATGCGAAAGCTTCACATGCTGGCACGTTTCGCAAGAGCGCACCCATTTGCGCACCCATTTGTGCATGTGCGGCCAATAGAAGTCTCGCGAGAGCGACGCGAGTGTCTTATCGCGTCCGAGATGACCGCTGCTCGGAGAATCATGGAACTCGTGAATGAGACGAGCTCGAAGATTGTCATCCAGCGGGACGACGATACGTGGCGGGTCGTCACGATCAACGAGAAAAGTTAGTAGATCACCGTCAAGGCCGTGTCGGGCGATACAAGAACGGCTGCGCGTCGACAGGCGGCGCCGCGCCGAATCAGAAGGGTTTCTCAGGTATTGGATCATCTCTAGACACATCGCGTCGGACTCGTACGCGGCCACGATCATATCTCGTAGGGAGCTTCTCGCCGTGACTTCCACCGCAGCGAGTTCCTCGGCGGTGCATACTGCACATTCGTCATCGTCTTCATCGCCAACTGCATGGCGACCCGACTGCGCATAATCTGCCCGACGCGACAGCGCGTCGGCGAGGATATTGGTCTTGCCAGGCTTGTAGTGCACGTCAAAATTATACTCGGAAAAGAGAGAGAGAGCCATCGCGCCATGCGTTGGGATAAGTGTGGGCTCTTGGTCGCCGTCCGTAACGAAGCGTGGTCGGTGTAGATGGCGAAGGTCTGTTCGCCCAAGAGGTACACGCGAAACTTGATGAGTACATAGCGCATCGCTAGGAGCTCCTTATCGTGGACGGGGTAATTACCCTCCCCCGGCTTCAGCTGGCTCGACTGGTAGCTAACCACTCGCTCGCGCCCCTTGTCGTCGAACTGCATTAGGGCGCACCCGATGGCGTAGTCGCTTGCATCGCAGACTGCATGGAACGGCTTCGAGTAATCAGGGAGCATGTGTACGGGCGCGGTGGATAACCTCATCTTCACCACGTCGAACGCCGCCTGGTGCTCGGGACGCCACGACCACGTGGCGTCCGCCTTGAGGAGTTGTGATAGCGGTCGTACGGTCTCGGCGAAGTTCTTTGCGTAGTGGCGGAGATACGTCGCGAGCCCCAGCCACTGCCTCAGCCGCTTCTGGTCTTGTGGCACCGGCCAATCACAAATGGCCGCGATCTTCTCTGGGTCAGCACGGACCCCGTCCTTGCTGACGTAGCATCCGAGTACTGGAATCTCAGGAGCGCAGAAGATGCACTTCTTCAAATTTGCATAAAGCTTGATCTCTCGCATCACTTCGAATACCTTGCGCAGGTGTCGTAGATGTACCACCGTGTCCGTCGTGTCGTCAGCGGCACGACTGTGAATGAAGATGTCATCGAAGTAGCTAGAAGCAAAGTCGCGATACGGACGTAATAGGTTGGAGACCATACGGTTGAAGGTGGCAGGGGCGTTCTTCAGCCCCTGCGGCATCACGAGCCACTCCCACAGCATACCACTGGGCGTGCTCACTGCAGTAAGCGGCACGTCGCTCTCGCGCATCAGGATCTGATAGAAACCGTCTATCAGATCGATGGTGCTGTAAATGGTACTGCCCGACATGGCGTCGAGCACCATGTCCTTGCGTGGAATCGGGGTCTGCGCCGGAATGGTGAAGTCGTTGAGCTTGTTGAAGGCGTGGATGATTCTCCACCCGCCGGACACGTTCTTGACACAGAAGGTGGAACTGGATTGGGGAGAAAGTCTTTCGCGTACGTGACCGGCTTGCCGACGACCTTCGAAGAATTCATCAATAGCTTCCACTTGGTCGCGGGGAAGCGGCCACTGCCGCGCCACACAATACTTTGCTCCGGGCACGAGGTCAATCTCGTGTCGAACACTGCGGCCCGGCGGGAGAACAGCTGGGACCTTGTCAGGGAAGACATCCATAAACTCGCGGACTAGTGGAGCGACTGGGTTGGCGGATGCTTCGAGGGCCGGCAACGACTGAGCGACATAACGCGCTTTGCGAGCGCTCTTCGGCTCAGCTCCGTTGGGGCGCGACCGATCGGCGGACGCGGATCCGGCTTCGACAGTCGTGATGGATGTAGATTCCGCGATGATCAGACAAATTTGCTCAATGTCACCACGTTTCAGGTCGCGGAGGAAATGTTTACACGACAATCCAGATAGCTGCACGATCTCAGAGGCGTCACACGGCGGGCGTGCGACTTCAACGTCGTGGACGCGTGGCGAAATCGATGACTCATCTCCAACCAGAACCGAGATGACCTCCGTGTCGGTTGAGTCCGAGTCTGAGGAGGACACGCGGGGTCGCCGCGGGTTACGACGGCCGCGACGAACCGGTCGTGGGGAGGCAGACGGTGAGAGACCACACTCGATCACGTCTGTTGTACTCGGGCGCCGGAACACATCATCGGCGCCAGGACGCGGGTCTATTGAGGCGACCGCGCCCACATCATCAGGGAGCTTCCGCTCGATCACCCGCGGGAGCCCATGCTCGACCGTGTGTGAGAGACCATGCTCTACCGTATCCATTTCTTCGGGGAGCACCCGCTCGATCACCCGCGGGAGCCCATGATCGACCGTGTGCGAGAGCCCATGCTCTACCATATCCACTTTTTCGGGGAGCTCCCGCTCGACCACACGCGGGAACCCCTGTTCGACCACACGTGGGAGACCACGCTAAACCCCGTCTCTCTTCTCGAGCCGCTGCTCGTCGGGACGCTGGAGCCCCTGCTCGACCGCGTCCGGCACGTCCTGAGATGCGTGTTCAGGACTGGTACAAGCTGCGTGCGCACACGCTGCACATGAAGGGCCATCGCTCACTTCAGGCGCAACGGTGGTCATGGCTTCCGAATCCACGACAGCAACCTGTGGCCAAAGGTTGGGCCTGCCGTTCAGGAACGACAGCACCGCATTCACATCGATGTCGCGTGGGCGGACTGTGCCCGTCAGCCAGTCGATGTGAGGTTGGTGGCGAGCAAGCCATGGGATGCCAAAGACACAGTCAAAGGCTCCGCTTAGCTCAATCACCAGAAACTCGTCGAAGCCGTCGAACTCGTACGCGAAGGTGGCTGCGCGCCGAGTGCCTCGGCGCGGCTTGCCGTCAGCATACTTGACGACCATATAGCCGGGTCCCTCGCGGACGCTCGTGCCCGGTGGCAGTACCGACAGGCTTTCAGCGCGAAAGAAGTTGTTCGTCGCGCCTGAGCCCAGGAGCGCTCAAATAGGTCGTGCGGCTTCCTCAACGTGGAGGCGATCAGTCTCGAGTCATTGCCGGAGGTGGTGGCCGATAGATGTGCGTGAAGCACAGGAGGGCTAGGAGGAGGTTCCTCCACCAGTCAACCATCCCCTTTGTCAGACCCAGTAGGGCGCCCCGCACCTACTGGTCGTCGTCGTTTTTTTGCAGGAGGGGAAATAGTCGCGTCGGAATGGGTCGTGACGGTCGCCACAACAGGAGCTGGAGCGCGGCAAACTGCCGCGCGGTGTCCAAGCTTCTTACAGCGGAAGCAACGCAACGGACGCGGGGTGCGTGCTGAAGACTGCGACGAACTCGACGAACCTGACGAACTGGATGACGTCGGCACCCGACGTCCGCCATAGTGTTGAATCGTATCCACCTCCATCGGTTCGGGACCGGGTTCGTGAGCCAAAGGCCTCGAGACGTCTAATGCTTGCGACGCCGTGACACTGTAGTCTTCGCGCAAAGCAATCACGAAGGCCTCTTCGAGTGTGGATGGAGGTTTCCTTGTCAAGTAGAACCGCTGGTAGCCAGCTTTCAGTCCCGAGACGAAGACGTGGACCTGAGTCGCCATGTCCATGGGATGGGTCGTGATGCACGACACCAGATGCCGAGTGTGCTGAATGTACTCGAGCATGGACATGCGTCCCTGCTTCAGCGATAGGAAGGCGGACCGCTGGATGTTCTCGTCTTGAGGTGGCTCGAACGCGAGCCGGAGTTCGGACTTTATGGACGCCATCGTCGGGAAGCAGGTGGCGTCGGCGACGAGCTTACCGAGTGCCCATTCTTTCGCCTTTCCCCCTAACTTGGAGAGGAGGAAACGAGTTCTCGCGAGCTCGGTGGACAGTTGCCGAGCGTCAACAGTGATGTCCATCTCACAGAACCACCGGTTCAAGTGAAGGCGGCCAGCGCCTTCACCGTTATAGGTAGAGACGTCTAACTTGACGATGGCGGTCTTGTTTTTGGGTTGCGTGGGAGTCGACACTCGCCGACGGAGGTCAGCGAGCTCACGCGCCATGAATTCCTGGGCGGCCAGGCGTTGTTGTTCCTCAGTGCCGGCTGTCAGCAGAGTCTGGATGACAGCATCGCCGGATTCAGCGGCGAGTCGGTGTAACGCTTCCCACTCAATCGAGGACAGGTGGGGGAAAGTTGCGTGTTCTAGTGACGTGCTGGTCATCCTAGACGCGTCGCTCATCGACGTGTCGTTCATCTTGATCGTGGGCGTTGGACGGATTACGAAGTGCTACCAGATGTAACGGGACTGAAGTGCCGTTACTGCAGCGTACACTGGAAGGATCGAGGAAGCAGGCAAATATGACTCTGAGATTGATAGTTAGCGACGCGGTCTCGACTCGAGAGACCGCGCAGCCATTTACTCTGTTCTACGTGTTGATTGGCTACCGTGGTGGACACGGTAGCTGTTGTGTGACAACGGCCCGTCACACATAGTAAAGGAGTGTCACATGGTTCCATCCTCGTATTGTTGTCTGAGGTGGCCCAGAATCTATCCAACTGAAGTGAAATGCGTGTCGCCTTCCCGGAAGACTATCCTATCTTGGCCTCAAAGCTATCTTTTGAGAGTCGTTCAAGTCTGTGAAAGAGAAGAAAATAAAAGAACTTACCTAATACAGAAAATAACCCGCCGCACTATGAAACCTACACTAAAGCATTGGTTTTAGCCAATCATCGCTATATACGCAAATGAATATCTGCCAAAGTGCCAATATTGGCAGTTCCGACACCTTAGTTTCAGGACGTATTGCTCCATGTGAAGTAAGTTGCTTAATGGAGAGCTCACTCAATGATGATTACGAGTCTGTAAGGGTTCTTATGCTTATTTAGGATTAAATGTGGGCTGACAGCCTTTTTATTCCGCCTGAATTTACACTCCCCCCCCCCCCCGCAAAAAATAAAAATTATAAAATAATAAAAAAACTGAAAGGCACAATATCTTTTAGCTCATAGGAATATGACATTACAACGGTGTATTAGCATTTATCAAACTTGCTTGTAGGGGTGAGATAAGTGATGGACATCTACTGTAAAGCTGAATTACAAGCCTTTCTTTGTATTATAATCTAGAACCTCCGCTTGGGAAATTGCCGCCTTATAGAAGCCTCCTTCCATTAAAAGCCCAGTACTGGATTAGGTTATGGAGGCCTGTTTGATTTTTTGTGTTTTATACAATTTAAAATATTAGTAATGAATATAGAGATGCTGTAGTTTGGATGTTGACGTGGAGTTTTCGATTGTTACTATTATATCTTGTTGTATTTTAATACTCTTCAGTGTTTTATGAGATCCATGCTGTCTCCAGCCAGTATGCTTTCTGTAACTGTCTGTTTACCCTTTATTAACTTGCAATTGCTGTAAGAACCCGCCACTCTGACTAATTTTGTACGGTGAGCAATTTTTAGTGGATCCGGTCTTTATTAACGTAGGTCTTAATTGTACATCATCGCAAAGGTCAACGCAAGCTGAGACATTCAGGATTACCTCTTGTTTCATATACTTGATTGGAAGATTGTTATGCGTTGTTGAAAACGACATCTCCGACAAGGATTGACAAGGCAAGCGCTTCTAACAGAAAATACGTTTCCTATCTTGACATAATATGGGCGAAAGAGCCGAATATTACTTTCTTACGAACCTCTAAATTTTAGAGGTTCGTAAGAAAGTAATAGTCTAGCCGGTTTTTCAACCAAGAACTTGGCATGCTCGCTGCTGGCGATATAGAATAGATCGCATGCTCAAACTTCCCAATTTCATATGTAGTAGTGATGCCGCGTTGTGTCCCAAATTCCTTAGCCATATTTCCTTAATTGAGGCCTCCGTATTGACCCTGCGGGCGGGTACATGCATTTCGAGTAAATAAAAGGTATAGAATAATAACACTAGTTGGTCATTCAGCGACGGGCGCATACAGTGTTGTCCAAGATTGCGTGAGATTCTCAATTTAACCGCAACTTACCGTTATTATGGCCGAACCTCCGTGGCAATTATAGCAATATCAGTACTTTAGCTTGAGTTGCTGCTCCAGACAGGGAGCCATCTGGGGTCCTTAATACTCAACTTAGACCTAGCTCGAAAACACAACAACTCTGCTCCCTTCGTCGTCATGATCATGCTATTAGGTTTCGAGGACTGGGTAACATCTACAGTAGTGCCCTCAATCATACCATTGCTCTCGCCCAACGTTTGCTTGGAGCTACGTGCCAATGCTTACCAAAACCTGCAGATTGGCTGTTTTTTTAAGCCCAGTCTGGAACTTTTCTTAGTGCCATACTTCAACAAGGAGGCACAAAATATCTACTCCAAAATTAAAAAAAAGAAAACTTCAATCCGGGACTCGAGTTGAAAAATATTTTGATTCTCTATTCGCCAAATAAATATACTAAAGCTTGACTATCTGAGTTAGGCAGCCCGAGTCCGATACTCTGGCAAGATGTGGACTTGTCTCTTCTTCCCATCCGCGCTAGTACAGTGAACGACGGCGCTGGAGCGAAGAAGGTGGAGAGGGAACACGAGATTGGAGAAATGCAGCAACGTGTGTCTGATGAAAAGGCCAAGACTGCGCTGGAGAGCAAAAATCCCGTTGTGATCGGAGACGCTGCTACTATCATCATACGTACGCTTAGCGTCACGCTGTTTCACGAGGTTAGTAACATTGTGCTTTGAAGTGGCGTGGTAAAACGTGAGTCCACGATTGATAATATTTTTTAAACCGAGTCCCCGATTGGAATTTTCCTTACACATAATCCCCTAAAAAAAACACACACATGAAAATAAAAAGTGATCCTTTCGTAACACGCAGCATCTGTTGGATAGCTCCCAATTCATGCGCAGTTGCACTGCGCTAGAATACGCAGTTTTATGAACACGTAGATCTCGTCGAGAATGGTTTAGTACACTACAGCAAGACATTCGATCCTCCCGTCGGAGATGCTGGTTTGACGGAACCCTGGTTGTAGCTACTGTGGTATATTTGGAAGAATGGTCCCTTTTTGTAGACTAAGGCATCAAGGAATCGTATTGCGTAGAATATAAAGACAACTTTTCAACTTGCCGTATCCAATTTGAATAATATAAAGGAAACAAAAGTGCTCAAGCTATAGATAGACCTACTTACATGGTAAGCTGTGGAAATCACATATCATAAGAGCTGTCCTTGGCGAAAAACTGGAAACCACTAAACTGAGTGCGTCTGGGTATCTTCTTACTAATGCCAGGTGCGTCTTGATACAAAATTTACTAGTGTCGGGTACTGAGTTTTTTTAATTATTATTATTTCTCTAAAATTGATTTCAAACTCTGAAACAAAAATTCTTTGTAATCTATATCGAGGTATTATATATGCAGTAATTGCCTCGTTTTGACATTTAAACGTTACGAAAAAAAATATGTTCAGTCGACATTCACGTGGATTAAACTTACGTTGGCCAATCGATGTATACCGTGATGTTACGCTTGGTGGTCACTAGCAACAATCACCAGGGTGGTACAATAATTACTTTACTGTTCCAAACTCTGCTGTCAGCGTCATTCAATTAAGGTTTAATTCGTTGTTAGCTAGATTCAAGGCGTCATATTTATCAAATGTTACCACCACAGTCGCCTCAGTGAGAGACTCCTCCCAGAACTCATCACCTTGAAGCTTCGGTCGAGTGAGGAGTACGGTACCTGCTCTTAACAGTCTGATGAAAACCGTCCTTGGAAGTTAATAAACGAATTTGCAAGTGAAGTCTACAGATAAACCAGCTACAGAGTATAGGTATTTGCATGAAAAAAAATGTTGAGCAATATTTTGTCTAGGTGTTATTAAATATTAAGTATAGAAAAATAATTTATGTGAAATGGAATCCGTGTTTCTGCAAATCCACGACACTGTGCGCTACCAACTAATAATCAGCCTGCAACCAATCAAGCCTATTGTTTACGCATAATGATGTGGTCCAAGAACATGAGTAAACTTTTGCTGGCAGTGAGCAGTAGAAGGCCATTTCGGTTTTTACCTTTCCTGAACTTGAGCTACTGTTCCTGAAGCGATGCGCTGGCTCATTTGTACCGTACTCTCCATCTTGTTCATGCTTTTCGCAACTGCTGAAACGGTCGCATCCGGGCCCAACTTCGAAATTGTGACGAAGGATTCAAGGTTCGTTACCAGTTTTCCTGTCCGTGAGCTGTCAACTGCGCACAATGGCAAAGCGAAAAGAAGTCTGCGGGGCAACAGCAACCACGTAACTAACGAAGAACTCAAGAGCAAAGACGAAGAGCGAGGGATTCGTGACTACCTGTTGAATAAAATCGTCAACCGCCTGTTCAAGTTAGCTTACATTGGTGGAATGACTCCGTTGACTCTCCGTGCCAAGAATATGGGACGTAAGAGTTTCATTTTCAACGACTACAAAATTTGGTGGGAAACTGTTCAAAAAACAGGAAAAATGCCAAAATGGAACTACCAGGATCCAAAATGGAACCACGTGTAAAAAAGCAAGGCCCCACACGTGTTAATAGCGTTAAGATCCATAAAATAAAATAAAACCGGGTTCTACAGGGAGAAGCTCTAGGCTTTACAGAACTATGAATATGAGTATTAGTAGCTTTCCGATATTCGTATTACATAATGCATGCAGTCGTGGGCTGTATATACCACTTGGACACTTAGTCTTGCAATACCTATGTTATCGTACTGTGTGTACTACACTGCGACCACAAGAATTGATGGTAGGCCTCATCTACGCTCAGATGTAAGTTGAAGCCTAGCTTCAACGTAGAACAGTTCACAAAATGAAATGCTGATTCCTGATCTCTGTCTTAACGTGACGGAATTCTAAATTTTGAACATTTCCTGTACGCGACGGCTTCTATGAGAGTTTGTATCGAGGCGCCGACCAGTCATCAAGGAGCCATCCACTGACATTTGCTGTTTGAGCGTCGAAGCCAAGGATGCTAGGCACAAGAGCGATGGCGCAGAAGGGTGGCATGAGGGCTGGCGAGTGCCTGCAAGTTACAGTGTGGCCAGGGACGGTTGGGGTGTGTGGAGCGTTCAGCATGTGCCGAAGGTGGCGTACGAGCATCCTGTGCGCACGAAGAGGGTTTGAAGGAAGCGGTGGCATGTAGCGTCGCCCCCGAAGGTCTGTGAAGTTAGTTTGGAGAGTATCAGTAGTGAATTAGCCTGTAAACCAACACTTTTTTTTTTTACTTATATTAGCATTGCTTGTTTCTTTTAGCTGCCGACTAACATGCCTTCGAGTTCAAGCCGTCTGATAACGCTTCGTCACAAGGTCGCCCCATTCCTAGACGATTCGCGACTCGAGGTGGAGAAGCCGGGGTACTGCTTCGCCGTTGGAATACCGAAGTCGAGGAATGCTCTCAAGTGTTATGGTCGAAGGAAATGCTTCAAACGTCAGGAGGCAATCGCACAGATAAGTACAAGGTTAAAGCGCACGGTTATCCTATGAAGACGTCGGCGAAGGAGCAAGCCTTGGTCAAGGAAGGAGAGAGCGTGTTGGGTTGGTTGTAGTAGCGCGGAAGTTGCCATTGTTGGATAATTGTCGCGATACGGTAGGATTGATTTGGTCAAGAGTTCTCTGTGAACGGATACGGAGAATGGAATACGGGAAATTGGTGATACGGTTAGTTGGACTACGTAGATATGGACTATTACGGTCAAGATTCGGGAAGTGAAGCATGGAGTGAGCGCTACGAGGACTGTCGTGGCGTGGAGAGGTCGGTCATTGTGCAGACCGTGGTGCAGCGGCTGGAGAACGCTAGTTGGCGTCGCGCTGGTCTTAGGGACCCGGGAAGCGCGAGTGAGGAAGTGGCGGCTGCCGCGCAGGAACAGTCAGTGGTCGGTACAGGTCAGGGGGAGCAGTCTGAAGTGATGTGAGAGCTGCTAGCCGCTAGTGATGAAGGGTCCACGGACGCCGCAGAGAACAAGGGAGTTATGAGCCAAGACACGGTTGCGGGTCTAACTAAGGGAACGGCTGCCGTCTTGACGGAGGTGAAGACGGAGCCTGTCGCAAAGGAGAAACAAGGCAGGAATACGGAAGTGTTCGACGTATGTACGAGCAACCTTCTTACTGAGTAGAGCCTACGTCACAGAGATGTCCAAGTGGGATCATTCCTAGGTATACATGTCCTGAGGTGCGAGGGACGGTTCGTCCTGCTATTCGTTGGAGTTGGGGTGCGTTCAAGCTACCTGGTGGGTACGGTACAGTCAGGTGGGCCCTGTTAATGTAACCCTTGACGAAAGCAGGACTGCTTGCCAGTAGGTAAAGGTACTGATGGAACTAGCAGTCCGGCTATGATGGCGAGTGTCAGAGCTACAGGAACGGCCATGCCACGAGCTACGCGTCAAGGTGTGAGTCGAGGTGCTATGATGGCTGCGCCGGTGAGATGCCTGAACGGCAGCATGAAGCAAGGAGGAACGCGTTTAGCTTGCCAACGTTAGTCTTGAACGCTGTCGAGTAGCATGTGATAAATTGTCAACCTCTTATTGGCTGATATATGGGAAGACAGATCTTTTATTAGCCAATCAGCCGATGACATGAATTTGAGCGCAGGGCTGCCAGTGAGACGCCTTCCACAACTGGTATAAAAGAAAAACTTCCATATTTTTTTTCCGGTTTGGGGGCCCTTGGCGGCCGGCCAAAAACCCCCTTGTTTTGGTTGTTTTGAAAAACGCAAATCACAACCAGTATTAAAATAAAACTCTGTTCATTTAAATTAGTCTCTTTACAAAACATACACTTAATTTTAGTAGGCTGGAATGACTGTGGCATTTTTGTTTTGGACAAGAAAAGGAAAAAGTTTTCACTAAAAATAAAGATCTTGCGCGATCTTCAACCTCTTCTTGCAACTCTTGAAGATCGCGCTTTTACACGTCCGGTAGACACTTCAATAATGAGGATTGAGAATCTTCATGTGCTGTGTACAACCTCGCAGAGGCGGAAGCAAGCCCAGGACTCTCTGCTACAGCTACTTGAGAAGCTGGATGCGGAGCGGCGGTGTTGGGAGTGGGCGCGTTCAGTTAGAATGAGGCATTACGTGACGCTGGAGTGTCTGAAGAGGCCGGAGGACTCAGCGTGGATGAAGACGTGGACCAAGGGCTCGGACACCAACTTTTGGTCGCTGACAAGCCTTACTAGGTACTAATTACTGTAGACTTTCGCTCTACGGCGAATCTAATGCGTCTGGCCTGCAGATCCACATTCTGTATGCTTCTCGAACGCTTTACCCCTCATTACCACATACCCCAGTACAGCAAGGAAGGAGGCCGCCCGCACAGACTGAAGCACCACCACCAAGTGGTCGGGTTGATCCTCTGCTTTACACCGGCAGCATGAAGAACAACCAGCTGTGCTTACAGTTCGGTGTGCCGCCCGCACAGACTGAAGCACCACCACCAAGTGGTCGGGTTGATCCTCTGCTTTTACACCGGCAGCATGAAGAACAACCAGCTGTGCTTACAGTTCGGTGTGCCGCCCGCGACGCTGTCTAGGGCAATTAATGCCGCGGAAAAGGCTCTAAGGTTACCCTTGCAAGAGTGTCCTCTGTTTAGGATCACGTGGCCGTCTCTCTCTAGGCAAAGAGCGCTCTCTAAACTCGTGTCGCTAAAGCAACCTTTGTTAACGCAAACATGGGGTTTTCTGGACGGGAAGAATTATCGAGTACGTACGGAAGGGTCTGTGCTTTTCAACGTTTTCTACTTACTGTTGCGTACGTACAGGTTCAATCTCCTTCCGACACCGACCTTCAGAATGCAAACTACAATGGTTGACTCCATAGTGTATTCGTAACCGGAAGGTTGTTCTTCGCCGCCGAGGGCTTGATCGTGTGGGCGAAGCACAATTGTCCTGGAAGTTGGACCGACTGAGATACTAGCTTAGCCTTCCGTCAAAAGCTGGCAGATCCAGTGCTCAATCCGGACTCTCATTACGGCATTGTGGCAGATAGCGCATTTTCCTTTGGCGGCGAGATGAAGGGGAGGATACTCACGCCCCTGAAAGAGGGCGATCTCTCCAGACTGCTGCCTTCAGTTCGCCGTGTGGCGTCATCTTAGTCTGCCGCTATCACCTCCATCAGGCAGTCAGCAGAATGGGGCATGGGTTCGATAGAGAAAGTCTATCACTGTTTTCTGCACCCGCTGTCGTTCAATAAGGACAAGCGACGCATTCGTCTTGAGAATTTGTTTTAGGTTGGCGAACTATAGAGTTCGTACGGTAGGAATCAGTGAGATTCGGACTGTCTTCTTCCACAGTAGAGAGGTTGCCGTCTACACAGGAAGTAACAGATGACATTATATTTGAGTTCGAAATTACATGTCCTACATCTCGTTTGGTTTGGTGTTTGCCTTAAGGATCATGGCCGTTAGCACCAGCATCATCTGCTGGTGTCTCTCTCGGGCCTCTTCTCGATCCAGTTTCATGCGTTCGTCAAATTGACGTCTGCTTTCAGCCAACCCCGCAGCCCTTCGTTCAAGTAGAGCTTCAGCAGCCTTGGCCGCGTTCCTCTCGCTCCATTGGTTCGTGAGCTTGTCTTTCCTGACGTTCTTCGCGTCGTCGGTGCTCTTCAGCATCTTCTCTACGGTTCGCGTCTTCACGGAAGATGAGGAGCAGGTTCGACATGACCTCAGCTGCTTCTAATTGAGTGTCCTTGTGCGCGGCGAACTGTTTGCCGAGGTCGTCCATGCGCTTCCAGCCTTTGTTCGTTTGGAGACTACGAAAGTTGGAGGTGGCGACGGCTCGGAAGACGTCCGCTTATGCTTGGCTCTGGCGATTCTTCCACCCATTTCATGAAAGTTATCCCTCACAATGCTGAGATCCTGACCTCCCAGCCTATTGGAAGCACGAGACAGACCCTTCTGTTTGCTGGTTTCGTTGGCGTCGTGCGCTGCATTTCTGGGGTCACGTCGGAAGGACTTGCGTTGAGCAGGTGTTTCTGATCGCCGCGTTTCGCTATCTGCGGATAGGGAACCCACTCGATCTCTTCCAGAAGATGCATCCAGAGAACCGTTTGAGTCGAGGCAAATTTCTCGAACGACGCGGCTGTTATGACGATCCGTACCCGCGGGGCGATCTCTCGCTTCTATGAGAACGGCACCGAGTAGCTCAAGTTGGCTATCTTCCTCGATTTTCTCTTCTCCCATGTACGACTCCCAGCCGTCGATGTCTTGGCTGAACTCTGAGCCTTGGCCGGTGGCGATAGTCCCGAGACTGGTGGCATTGGGAAAACGGTCGGATGAGTCGTCTGTTTGCTCGCTAATGAGAGTCGAATCTTCATTCTGTGGCTCTACGTTAAGTTCTCGGGCTTCACGGAGCCGCTCGCGGCCGGTTCTGTCAGAATCCGAGGCTGCTTCACCCATGGCCATGTCGTTTGTGTTTCCTTCAACGGAGACGCGATCCTCGATACCGCCATTGGGGCATTGCTGGCCGTTCCTATCTCTCGCAATACTTTCAACGTGCCGAAGCAGCTCGTCATCATCCTCTCCGCCGTCAGTACCATCGATGTTCTCGTTAGATCCAGCCTTCTCCTCGATCATCTCGTGGATCTCCTGCGCCAGTAGAATGGGCCGTTTGGACTCGGGAATCTATCTGTTGATGCCTGACGGCTTTTACTTATCCACGAGGTTTATGAATTTCCTTCTCAACGACTCATAGTCGCTCTCACAGGTTCCCCGAGGTTGTCTGTAGTTATACTGCTCAGCGACCTGCTCCCACATGTCCTTCCCAAGGGGACGAATATCATCCACAATCTCAAATAGAAGGAGTTGCTCGGGGATCGAGAGATTTTTGTAGCCGCTACGGCGCCCTCGCAGTTCGGACAGAAACCCCTCGGGGCGTAAGTATTAGTCCAAGAGCAGATATACAGCCACATTTCTAGTTGAGCGTACCTTCGACATCTTGATTTGATTCTCCGCCAAGACAATCTCGAAATGTACAGATTCACGAGAAACGTGCGAGATGATTATAAACTAGAAAAACCTCAACGCGGATCGAATATACCAGTTTTGTAAACCAAACTGCACTTTAATTTAAAAAAACCTCATTTCATATGTAAACTCAATTGTACCTACATTGCAGTACCGCTATCTGCAGCTCTCACTTTCACCGCACGAGCTTCTCGGCAGCCGCTGTTGCCTCTTATGCCGTCGAGTCTTCTAAGCAGAAGCAAGGCGCCCTGCGGCGAGCGGTAGTCCTCCCGGGTAGCGTCCTGGAGCTCCCGATGCTGACAACCCCACCACCCGCAGCGACAGATGAACCAGAGGTGGTTTCCGTAACTTACAGTCACTTCCTCGCCGGGAAATACGTCCCGTGTGGTGACAGCCACGACAGTTAGTTTTTTCCGGTCTGCATCACGTGGAAACGGGCGCACGGGTTGCAGGAGTAGCTCAGAAGGCGTAGTTTGCTTCCGGCGTGGAGAGCGTCGATGCGGACATGTTTGATACCGGTAGTCTTTGTCTTCAAGCGTAGACGATACCCTTCGTTAGCTGGTCCGCTCCTGCAGGGGGTACCGAAGTACTGCAGGTGCCCAAAGTACTCGCCAATAACCTCCCAAGCAGATATGGCTCCCCTCGTGACTACGCCCCGCATGCCGGTGCGGACATTTCGACAGATCTCCAGGACAGAACTCTCACGACGCGAGTTGCCACACTCCCCCATGAAGGGGCAATTACCGGCATTGCAGAAGCGACTTGACAGCGCGTTGAGGCAAGTATCAGCGAGGCAACGATCCTCCCATCCGCAGCCCTCCCCTCCGTTGATGCCCAGGCTGACGGCCGGAAACTTTAAGTCCTGGGGGATTGTACTGAGAAGTGAGAAAATCACTTCCAGTGGCCATTTCTCCGGCTGCCACTCGTCTCGAGCGGAATCAAGAGATGTGTCCCCAAGGAGCTCAAAACCAGGAGAGCTAGCAGCTGAGGCCAGGGAAGGACAAGGGGTGCTTTCAGGACTGATTTGGACGGAGTACAGATGATGGTAACGGCGGCCGGATTGTATCCTTCAAAACCCGCGTACTCGTTGTTCTCCTCATTACTGGACTGGCTGGAACTTCCTCGAATTGGTGCATGGAGGCGGCTCCCGGTGAAAGTGTCCCGTACTCGAAAGCGCCCGAGTGCTGGAGAAGGAGCGGCTAGAGAAGAGGCGTTCCAAGCTTCAGAGATCGTAGATACGCTGGACGCAACCTCGTCGGTCTGGTCGGCTTCCGGGAGTGTGTTCAATTCGAGCTCCGACAGGGGGCGAACTTGAATTGTCTCCGATTCGGGTACGAGCGGGTGGGCGAACGAACGCCCCGAGCGCAGCCACGGCATCGACCTTCCAGGCCAAATGGAGATAAGCGGATCACCTCCACGTGTTCGAGTGCCCGTGGCTCTCGACGTCTCACCCGGCGATGTTGAAATGTCACCATGTTCGCAATCAGAAGACAGCGAAGCATCTGGAGCTCCAGATACCGTGTTTTGGCGCTTAGTGGCAAGGGGTGGCAGGCTTCCTCCATTAAGACGGCTTTCAACATCAGGAGATCTTGATCTCTTCATCAGGGTATCTAGATATACAACGCGTAATATTAGTGCAGCCCGAACAAGTATAAAGTAAAGACACGGAGCTTCACCGTAGAAGTCTCTACCCTGCTCGTCTTGCTGCAAGCACGAGAGACTTCAGCTCGAACGCCCAAATTTCAAAATGTACATGAAGAAGCGAGTTGGCGCGCGATTTTCGCGCCCAGCGACCATAGAAGATCGCGGAACTTCAATTTGGAAAAAATCTCTAGTTAAGGGTGACGTTTGTGTGGATAGTGAAAGTAAGTCTATATTTTATACGGTTGACGAATAAGAGTGGGATTAAATGGGTGAAAAAAGGGTTTAATGCGATTCTTGATCTGACCAAAGTTTGGTCAGATCAAACTCGCCTGTTTTTTGTCGAAAGTTTTATCACGATTTTATCACGGACGATCCTTCGACAAAAACGTTTGTTTTAGAAGGGTTGTGGAAGGCGTCCAGTGGCAGTGCCACCCTGGTCCTCAATAAAGTCCGAGTTTTTCCTGATAATTGTGAGTTTCCTCGTAGCTACAGTGTAAGCTAGTAACGGATATATTTCTGGCCCGTTACAGGAACGGTGGTAGGGTAACCCAAGCCTCGGACGAAGACGAGGTAGGGGAACCCAAATAATAATCAGAAAACGCTCCTTAAATGCAGGGAGCATGAAAATTGCTTTTTTGTGCTCATTCCGACTTGGTACGAGATTAACGAGTACTTTTGGGTGCTCGCACCTCAATATTATTTCCAAGCATCTCTCAGAATTAAGTGCGAGCAATGTGCTCGTTCTCGAAGTCACTTACTGGCTGAAATTCACTGGATCTTTGCAGGGCGCAGAAAAACTACCAGCATCATTCCGAAGATTTCTCGTTGTGGCGCACGTCCAGCGCAATCACTTGATCTGGGCAGCACAACCGTACACAACACGAAATGTTTTAGTACTAGACAATGGTAGACGCCCTACCTCTGTTCGACAAGCGGTGGAGAGCTTTCAAGCTCGTGGTCCATTCAGGGTTGTTCCACCGCGTCCTACCGAGACTTTGTTCATTTTCAAGTGGGGTGTAAGAGTCAAAAATATCGAGAATGGAAAAAGTGTACTCGCGTGGGTGTGCTTAGCTGATGAGGGTTGTCGGACATCCGGGCGAAATTTAATCAAGCTACACGCTGGAAAGACGACGATTGCGTCGAAACACCTTCTGCGTCTACAAAACATCACCTCTCCAAAACAGAATCAACACTTGCAACCAAGCGCAAGCGTGATGTAGACATCGAGCACTTGCAGTCGTCAGTTTAGAAACCCATCTCGACTAAACTTACTTCTTCAGACACTCCCGATAATCAAGAATAATCTGCCGTTTTGATTGGGGGAGTACGAGGAGTCCAGACTCATGCAAGCACTACTAGTCAAGGATGCGATGAAGGCCACACTCAACGCGAAGATCGTCGTGGAGCTGATTGTTGAGCTATACACGTCGACAAGAAATGAGGTAATAAATTTCTTGAGGAAAATAAGGAATCCAATTTTACGCTAGTCGCGGACTTCTGGACATGTAAGACTACCGGAGATAAGTTTGTGGGGTTGCGAGTCTACCTTGTGGACAAGGCGTGGCAATTTAAGTCTGTATTGTTGGGGACAATAAAGTTCAACCCAGCGTACGGTGATCGAGAAGGCGGTATTTTGGGGCCGTTTAAAGCATGGCTGGAGCACATGTTTAAGGATTTTGGCCTGAAGAAATGCATTTTTTTCGGCGTCACTATCGCGGGACGTAAAGGCGATGCTGCGCACGGAGTTAGACTTGCACTGGGAGTGGTGCTGCGCCCACATGGCTCATGCGGCTACGAAAGCATCGTGTGGTGTGAATGGTACAGCGAGCGCTGAGGCGAATCCTGCTATGGCTAACTTGATATCAAAACTTGCGAGGACTATATTCCAAATTAAGCATGTTTCTACAATGGGCAATTTATTTGAGGGGCTGTGTAAGTCTAAGACAGAGCCTTAACTCGTCTTATTGGATACTCGACGTCACGCTTCCTGAGCTTGACAAACGCAATGGAGTGAATACTTTTGAAATGGCCAGTGATTACAGCGTGGTACGAAGAGCGAAAATAGCATGAGCTTCGCGTTAACAAGACACCTACCGAGTTCCCACTGGCAACCACCACGATGATTTAGTGCACGTCCTCTCTGTACTCAAGCAAATTGGAGAGGTAAAATGCACATGTCAGGCAGAGCGTCCTGTGCAAGGTTGAAGTTCTGGTGAAACTCTTTTTGGCTCGCATTCAAGACCTCAACCCCGACCAGCCTCTGCCAAACTACCTGTCGAGTGATGAGAATCCTAAGTGGATTGCTGCAAGTGATCTTACCCCTCTTGCAACAAACACACGGCTCCTCCTGCGAGAAGCATTGGACGAACGAGTTTTTAGCAGATACGACAAGGATAGCAATTTTGCAAAATGCTCTTTCATTTTAGAGATGTAACTAAAGTTTCACCCAATCTACAAGCGAACACATAAACGCCTCGATCGAGTTGTTATTTCATCGTGCCGATAGCACGGTAATAGTGGGAAAGAAGCTGTTGAGAAAAAGAACGCCGTGAACACAAAGGTTCGAAGCAAAGTACTTGAGCTGCTCTCGATGTTTATTGAGCCTGTCGACAACACAGAAACTCCTCCCGTGTCTTCCGTCGCGCGATTGAGTAGATTAGAAGGAGAATTCGCTTCCAAGCCAGTGAGACTACCGACCGTTACCCACCGCGATCGACAAGCTGAAGAGGAGTTGGACAGATGGCTTGAGGATCCTGTTGGTGTTGAGCGTTCGAGCGACAGCACACCTAGAGAGTCCGTGCGGCGTGTTTCCGGAAACATGGCTAAAGCGCAGCGCACGACCCTAGCCGATCACAACATCGACATGTGTTCGTTCTTGATTAGGAACCGCGATTTCGTTAACTTACTACAATGTGAGGAAATTCCTAAGGGACGGCATCACTTACACACTATCCAGCTTTGTCCTTCCGTTGGACCTTGACATGGAATACGAGATCAACAAAGCATTTAGCCTACTTGCTCTATGCCTCCTAGCTTTGTTCGTATTAGTGACAGCTTCAACCTGCACGATATTGCTTTGACAGGTACCGTTGAGCAGTCTGCTCAGCTCTTTCCTGTACTTGAAGCTGGCTCTCGGAAATCACCACTCTGAGCTCAATACGTTGTGTACGAGTCTGTGAAGGATGCTGCGAGCGGCGTTGAAGATGTTGGGATTGAGTTCTTTGCAGCGACACTGAGTTCGGAAACGCCTGGCAAAGATATTGGCGCAGCAGTGGCATTTTTACCCCTGCAATTTTTGTATCTTCCTCCGTCAAGTTCAGTGAGCCTCCTCTCTCCAGCAGCAACGGTAACGCTTTCTCATCGTTCATGTCACAGGACACGCCGGTGGTGTTTGTGATGGGTGAATTTAACGAGATAATAGACGTTGGTGACAAATACAATCTTCTCCAGGCTTCTTGTATCCTTTCTCTAGTGCAGGATCTTCATCAGCGGCTATTTCATCTTCATCTCCACCGTCGTTAAGTTCGTCACTTCCGTAGATCTATTGTGTTAATCCGTCCCTTTTCAGTTCTTCTGTTTCCTGCGTCGCAACGCGTACTTCGTCTCTGATAGTCTTGCGTATTTCACCAACAGCTGCCTGAATACTTCAATCAATACTACTGTGACAATCTCGTATCTGGGTCTGCACCTCCTGTCGATACTTAATATTTACATCAGATTCGTGTTGCGCATTTATCTGTACCCCACAAGCGCTCTTCCATTTCCTGTCGGACCAGATCGGCAACTGTAGTATCTAGGGCGGCACCATCGCTTTTCTGAGCTTGTCGTTTGGCCTGGGCATTAAGTTTCCGGATCTGCTCACGCAGTGCCGTCGTTGCGTCAGCTTGACGCTGAACTTGCAGGTTCAATTCTGACTGCGTGTTCGAAAGAGCCTTCTGCACCCTGCCCTCTAAGAAACGCTCTGCATTGGTCGTGATATTCAAGACAAGACTGCGAATTGACTCGCGGAGAGGCTCTTCACCGCTGCTGGCTCGTGCTAGCAAGTCTTGTCGTACAGCGCCACACGCTCTCTGGAGATGCAGCCTCCACTTCCATCTGTACAGCGCGCGTTGACCCCTCACAGGAATCAACCTGAAGCTGAGAAGCTGCAAATGAGTCTTCGACTAGTTGTTGAACGTGCTGTGATAGGTTCTCCAAGCCACCGTCAATCTTTGCCTCCACCTCCAGCACCTTCTGGTGAATCCCTTCCAAATGAGCCGAAGCTGCTATCTGTGCTTCGCGCTGTGCTTCTTCCTGTGCATGAGCGATACTGTCGCTCACAAATCGCTCAATGTGTCCACCACCAGCCGAGCAGAATAGGGAATTACAAAATAGCATATCCATTCCAAGGACGTTTCCAGATTCAGCGGAATTTTTCCTTACTGGAGCCCACTGAATTTGAATGATGGAGTTGAAGAACAATTCGGGTTCAGTGAATATGACAATACGGATCACACATCATACGATCAACCATTTGAATTTGAATTTGCCCTGACGCACTTCGAAAACCGAAATCCCTATGAATGTTGTACCTCAACCTCATACCCTTCGAACGTTAATCGTGACGACGATGTCCCTTGGCAGCTGCCGCTTGCTGACCAAGTGGACAAACCGAATGCGAAGATCGCGCTGGTCCAGGATTTTGGACAGCAGCCGATCTTCTCGGAGTTCCTGTAACTCCGTG